CTATCACAACATAATTTCTTATTGCCAGCATTGTAAACCATTTTCCTAGAGCTAGTCTGTTTTCATACTGCTCCGCACTGTTCCGCGACAACGCACTCGAATGTGTGTCATGGTACCACATCTTTCTACAACTTAATATTGCATGCAACAGCTATATGGTTACTTTACCTTGTAGAGGCTAGATCACTACAAATATCCAAAACGTCTTAGCAAATACGCAACGGAAAACTTTCTAGGGTAGGCTAACTGCTACTAAGGGATTTACCAGACTATTCTAGTGGAAAAGTTGTAAAAACCGGTATATGGGAATGACGATGAAGATTAGAAATGATACAACTCACTTAGATCCTTCACTATCCTAGGCGGCAGTAGTCAAGCAGTCGACTTGCCAAAGGATGACTCCGTGATGGATTGCGATTGTGAAAATAGAGAGATATCTCGTTTGCAAATTGTTGCTGGGTTCTTCTGAGCCCGAGAATTATCACCAGAGAGGTGTCGTTGAAGGGCGAAATAAACAGCGGCAGGTGAGGAGAGAGTTGAGAGCTGTGGAGGTGGTTAGCAAGACAGTTGCTAGCACGCGTCAAAACCGAAAGTGTGCAAGTGTGTTGTATTCTAGTTTAACAAAATTGGTTATTGAGAAATTTAAACAACGCATAAGTAGGGCCAAGAGCCCACAACCTTAATAGGGTTCTCTAGAGCACTGCTTGCCCGTAACCCTTCAAATATACATACATATGAAGAAAATAAGAGTTTTTTCTTCATTATATCGCCCGGACTGCGTAACTCCTCTGATACACATACATATGACGGGCCTTCCGGGCCATAACAGTGAAATTTTATTAATTTATTTATTAATGTGAGCAGTACTCTGAACTTGATCAGTGTTTTTAATTAAATTTCAAAAGGTTACACCGGTTTTACCAAACAAAATTTGACAATCAGAGAGAAAAAAGGAGAACAGCAATCTTTTTTCCAATGAACTAGTGAAAAACAACCAGGAATGGGAATATGCTTAATTCGTTGTGTCATTGTTGTCTAGGGGATTCACATTCAAATATAAACGAAGACATCGGTCCCTGATATGACGCTTACTTAATTGTGTGTACGCATGACGAAAAAAATATTTTGCATTCGACACCAGTTTTCTGCTGTAAATATTCGCCTAGTTTCTGCATTATCCGAAGTTAATGTTCGCTGTTATTCAAGGTCGTTTCAAACTTAGGCCATGCATTTTGCCTTGATAGCTGATTCGTGATGTCAAGGTCGTCTAAGGCTTAGACAGCTGACATCGATCAACGTCAAATATCTTAGGTCGCAGACTGTTGCTCGTGGATTACTTGTTATGTTGTAATGGCTATTGAAGAAAAAGCGAGCATCGATACCTTATTAATTGCCGCTGAGGTTTTAGAACGTGACGTTATTAAACCTGGTAAGGAATACGATAATCAGCGCTTTCGAATTTCCTGTTATTTTAGACAAAAGTTCCCGATCTGGTGGTAGAGACCACTACGCAGTGAATGGCCTAAGTGAGCAGGTTTTTCGATCGTAAGCTGTTTATATTCTTTATTTAACATTTAATTGCCTCTTAGAATTCCGTACCATGGCGAAACTTTCAAAAATATGGCAAATATGGATCGGCGAAATCCGGGCTCCGCGGCTTTCCTCTCCAATTCAAGATCACAGGTAATAACGTAAATTTTGTCACTTTCTTATAATACCTGTTAAATGCGTATATAGCTCTAGACTTTTTTTACTTAGATTTCATTATTGCTTTAGGGATTGCGACTGAGTCTCCACAAAGATGATTCTCTTCGTTGTATTATCAGTTGCCTTCGTGATGCTCCAAGATATTATTGTTTTAATACTTTAAAACGTTTTATGGGATTTAGCACTTGCCTGCCTAATGTTTCTTGGATGTACATTGTAAGAGCACCGTCAAAGTTGGGCATTTTTACACAGAGCATCTTCACTTGCTTAGTTCCAGTCTAGACCAGTCTGTTTCCATCTAGGCCTGATCCAAAATTCCTTTCTGTTTTCTCGTGCTCTATATCATCATATTAAAACTTATTGCGGTCACAGACCCGTCTTAAAACATGCCGTTATTGCTAGATTATGTTTCAGTGTGGGAGATAACTCATAATTTTCCTAGCACGTGAGTTTGTGCTATGCATCTCCTTGGCCGTTCTTTTTCATCCGATATTCATCCGTTTTGATGCCGCCTTTCGGTTATTTTTTCTATTCCCTTGTCTTGTTGCTCTTCTACGATCTAAGATCTTGTGCTTCGTACAGTTACTTATAATCCAGCAAAGATTCGTTAAGGTGAAACCATGTGTAGGGTAACCTGAGGGGGTTTAACCAGTCAGGCTCGCCGTGCCTTTGACGAACACAAATGAGCTGCATAATAATCTAGGTAACTCAAATTTGGGAGCAAAATTCAACGCATCACACATATTTTGAAACAGCTTGTTGCGTTTTAAACAATCAGGTTTTCACAAGAAACTCCACTAAACTGACCTGCCACGCATAGGACTCACATTTTCAGCGGAATATCGGATCCGAATCGCAAAAAACTGGATTCATCCAGCCACAAACGGATAGGAGTTGCTGATTGAATTTAATTTTTTTGAAAAAAATATTACGGTTTAAAGACCCATCTTTTTATGTAAGAAATTCTATGAAGCTTCCCTTTTTACATAAGCCCAACGAAATGTTTTCAGAAGAACGGACCAAATCGGACTGAAATGAATCATGATGTCCACTCAGAATGGTATTCCATATGGTCATTGTAGACTTTGTTTTGTGACCAGTTGTACTTATTGCGGATAGTGCTGGGGACAAACGCCTACCAAAAACAGACCATTGTTCCCTTGTTAGTGTCTACCTGATTCCATTTGTGTTTCCTCAAGATCTTATTTCACATGCCGCTGTTTTTAAACGATAACAATGGTTTACGCGACAGGCCATCGTGCTTTCTCCCATTCACGTAGTGCTCTTCTGCAAAATAAACGGCTTTTATCTGAACTTTCGAAATTAAGATGCAAGTTCTTTTCAGTGAGTAAAGTCTGCATTTGTTGAATGTAGGTTTAACGCTCAATTTTATCCCTAATTCAAAGGTCTGAATTATGCCCATTGCGTCGTTAAGTAGATCGACAAGTTCGCGCCTCAACCTAACGTTCTACGGAAGCCTACAGTAAAGCACGGTTAATGAGCATTTTCAGCTCACTTTCTAACTCCTGGCCCCTAATTCTCGAACCTAAGTATCGTACGTATCCCAGAAGCCATTTATCTAATAGCCTTGGGAGCTATTTTTATGACAATCTTTCGAGATGCTGAGTTTTCAGTAGAACCTCCTTGTTTAAGCCTAACTCGCGAACCACAGGCGGTAGAAAATATGATTTTGCCCAGACCGATGTTTTTTTCTCTTGTCCACACTTTTTAGATTTTTTCCGCTTCAAGGGCCTCTTTGCCTCACGGGCCCAATAACTGAAACGGGGTCATTTAGATTGTGGCCTATTTCGGTTTGCTGTACGTCAGGTTCCTGGTGGATGGTGGGTTTTTGTTTTCAAATCACCCCTAGTGGATATCTTTTCTTTAATTCAGTTTGATATGCAGATGTCGACAAGAATGTGATCCATCCTTTCTAAAGCAAAGAAAAGCTGAAACCTTTGAGGACGTGTTCTGCG